TTATCACCTTTGATGAATCATTCCTTCATCTGGGCGACACAGGCTACATTATCTTCATGGATGACAGTTGGAGTGTCTGTCTTTGAAGGTAGACCACATGAATTACGGATGTGATGGATCATTGATCGTAACCAAGAACATTCAAGACTTGCTTCATGTAAAGTAATTATTTCCAAGTGATTGGAAGATGTAGCAACTAGCGTTTGTTTCGTTAATCGCCATGAAATTGCAGTATCTCCATAAGTGAACACATATCCATTTTGTGAGCAGGCTTTATGCGGATCAGAGAGAAAACCAGCATCTGCGTATCCAACAAAGATCTATTCATTTATGGGCTTGTCTAAGTAGAAGATACCCATATCTGTTGTCTCACGAAGGTATCGTAGAACATCTTTGACTCCCTTCCAATGACGAATTGTTGGAGCAGAGTTATACATGGCTAAAAAGTTAACTGAAAAAGCTATATCTGGTCTAGTACATTGTGCTAAATACAATAAAGCACCTATTGCACTCAAATATGGTACTTCTGGACCAAAGATTCTCCATATAGATACGCGGTGATGACATCCATAAGTCGCATGTCAAGTTTTTCTGAAATCACCAAACTTATTAAGTAACGGAACGTAATTGCGTCCATTACAGGAGAGTATGTCTCTTCATAATCAATTCCAGGTCTTTGTGAAAAACCTTGTGCAACGAGTCGTGCTTTATGTCTTGCAATCTCGTTTTTCTCGTTATGTTTCCTTGTGAATACCCATTTGTAACCTACGGGGTTCACACTAGGCGAGGTTTGAACTACTGGTCCAAAAAACACTTCATCTTTCCAAGGAATTTAATTCTGCCTGGATTACATCTTTCCACTTAGGCCAACCTTGTCTCTGTCTGCATTCATCAACAGAGCGGGGCTCAATATCACTTAAGATAATTTCAGTAGCTATTGCAAATGCAAACATGTCGTTGATGATTATTTCATTTCGATCCCACAATTCATTAGTACATGCATAATTTATGGATATTTCTTTGTTTTCATGTACTTCTGTTTCTTTAGGGACATGTGTCTCATCAAGGACATTTTCTTTTTCTGGAAGTACAGAATCACGAATTGTGGATTTATCATTCAATTTCTTTTCTTGAATGATATCATTTGGGTTCAACTGTGCCCTCATCTTTCTCTTTCGAGGGGCTGAATCTTTTGAACCTGGGGGTCTACTACGCTTCAGGCGTGCACTGGATGAATCATTCGCTGCCACTTTATTTTGTCCAACAAGGATATCAATTCTTGCAGGTACGTTTGCAGCTGGTTTATGTGACTTTGTCACTTTCGAAGCATCATTAAATGCATCAGGCATTTGATTAGCAATACCTTGAAGATGAACGATCATTTTCAGTTCATTTTCACATTGAGTGCTTCGTGGATCAAAATGAGTTAAGATGGAAACAACCCATGTTAGCTCTTGCCGTTCTTCTAGAACGGTCTTTTTTCCCCCTAACGACGGGAAAACTATCTCATTAAAATGACAATCAGCAAAACGAGCTGTAAACATATCACCAGTCAAAGGTTTCAAATATCTAATAATAGATGGTGAATCAAAACCCACATAAATTCACAGTCTGTGCTCAGGTCCCATTTTAGTTCGTTGTGGCGGTGCAATAGGCACATAAACAGTATAACCAAAAACTCATAAATGTGAAATGTTTGGCTGATGTCCAAACATGAGTTGTATTAATGAGTATTGGTGGTTGGCTATAGGTCTTAGTCGAACCAATGATGTTGCATGTAAGATGGCATGTCTCCATACAGAGACTGACAATTTCATTTTCGTGAGTAGAGTGCAGGCTATTAATTGAAGCCGCTTGATAAATGTCTCTACTAAACCATTTTGGTTATGGACATGAGGAACAAGATGTTCAACATCAATGCCCAGTGCCATGCAGTAATCAGCAAAGGTTTGCGACGTAAGTTCACCAGCGTTATCAAGTCGAATGGACTTAATGGGATGATCTGGGAACTGTGCTCGCAACTTAATTATCTGAGCAAGAAATCTCGCAAAAGCTACATTTTGAGTAGACAATAGGCAAACATGTGACCATCGGGTAGATGTATAAACCAAAACCATAAAATATCGAAATGGTCCACAAGGTGGTTGAATAGATCCACAAATATCCCCTTGAATTCTTTGCAAAAATAATAGGGATTCATCATCAACCTTTAGTTGTGATGGTCTAATTACCAACTTCACTTGGGAACAAGCCTTGTAAGGGTTATCGTTTGAGACATCACCGTGTCTGCTCAATAATAGATGTCCATTAGAGTTGGTAATGATTTTACGCATCATGATAGATCCTAGATGACCCAGACGGTCATGCCAAAGCATGTAAACCTTTGAATTAATAAACTCTGGTTCATGACAGTATATGCCTCAACTGTCTTTATGTATGTATAATACAATCCACTCGATAAACCGTGCAACTTCTCCAATATACGCTTCTGGGTATCATTGGAGGTAATGCATAAATATTCCACATTTTCTACACTTTTCGTTTCAATGTGGTATCCAATTAGACGTATGTCTTTAAAACTTAACAAATTTCGAATGGATCGAGTAGCGTATAATGCATTCTGTATGGACAATATTGTTCCATTTGGTAACATAATCTGAGTTTTTCCTGAGCCTTCAATTACATCTGATTGCCCTGGTATTGTTGTTACCTTTACTTTTGCAAGTACCAAATTCGAGAAATACTTTCGATCTCGAAGTATTGAATGCGTGGTTGCCCTGTCTGCAAGACAAAAGTCTCCGCCATTGATCTTGTTTTGAGAATAACCATAATTTTTATCCATGTTCTCTGAGTAAAGAAAAAGCAGTTTATTCATACTGGAATACTACTTTTATTGAATTGAAAATGCGAGCACTAAACCACAAGTTCAAATAACAAGAGTACATTAAACATAAATAATTCAATCGGACCCATAAACTTCATTCCCTCTTTCATTAATAAAGTCTGTAGCATCCATATGGGCTGTGTTTAACTGTCCTGATAAATTGGTCACTGGATTAGGAGTTTCCATTGGTTGAGCCTGATCGAAGAAATTGATCTCGACACCTTTCTCCTTGAAGGAAGCTTGATACAGCTCCACCAGATGCTTTGGGGCGTGACAAATACACGCCCAATGTCCGTTGCCACCATACCTATGCCAAACTCCTTCAGGATTTCTAAGAGTGTTCATATGAACTTTTCCTTTCTGGTGATTTTCATTTTTAAAGCTCGAGCTTGGATTATGCCTTGGAACCTAGTTGTGAAACTGGACACCATGGTTCTTGCCTTTCCCATTCCACCAGCCTCATTTGTGACCACGTCCTTGTTTGTAATTATTGTCAGGGGAAGATATGTTATTCCTTTCAAGGGAAGCAGCATTCACTTCTGGGAACGGTGTTGATCTAGTAGGTCGGGAATTATGGTTTTTCATTAGGAGCTCATTGTTCTGTTCAGCTACCAAGAACATAAATATCAACTGGTTGTATTCGGTGAAGCCTCACGCTCTATACTGCTGCTGCAGAAGCATGTTAGAAGCATGAAATGTGCTGAAAGTCTTTTCCAGTAACATTTCCTCAGTAATAGTATCCCCACACAGCTTCATCTGAGAGGTAATTCTGAACAACGCATAATTGTACTCAACCACTGACTTGAAATCCTAGATCCTTAGGTGAGTCCAGTCATAGCAAGCTCTTGGAAGAATCACCGTTGTCTGATGATTGTATCTGTTTCTCAAGGCCTTCCAGAGGGCTAACGAATCTTCAACCGTTAAGTACTCGCTCTTTAGTGCCTCATCAAGATGGCGACGAATAAATATCATGACCTTCGCTCGATCTTGAGAGGATGAGCTGCTCTTTTCCCTGATGGTATCTCCAAGATTCGCTACTTCCAGATGGATCTTGGTATCCAGTACCCAGGTAAGGTAATTCTTTCCAGTAATGTCCAGGGCAGCAAAATCAAGCTTTGCCAAGTTTGCCATTTTCTTTTCTGAAAGAAAAATGAGGTGTGTAAGAACTTGCAATAATATGTGTTCTGGAGGAATATATTGTTAGAACTTTTGGTTCTTACAAATTTTTTATCTTCAAGCCAAAATGTTAAGTACTCGAAACTTCAGGCTTGAGATTTACATGATTAATGAGAAGGACAATTGACCGCACTATTCTCATCGAAACAAATATAGAATGGGCGATTATTCCGCACTACTTTAAACAACATGAAAATTTAAATATGTAGAGCAAGGTGGATGATTTTACCACACCACTTAAAATTGCGATAAATTTAAATATGCAAAGCAGGGTGGACGATTATATCGCACCACCTAAAATTGTGATAAAATTTAAATATACAGAGCAGAGTGGATGATTATTCCACACCACCTAAAATTTCGATAAAATTAAATAGCAGGTAAATTTAAATATGCAGGATAGGGTAGGGGATTATACCGCTCCACTTAAAATTTGCAGTAAAATTAGATCTGCAATCCAAGATAGGCGATGATACCACACCATCTTAGATTGCATAAATAAACATTGGGTTTGTAGTCAAGAGTTACACCAAACAAAAAATCAAAGACATAAGTAATTGTTAGGTTGAGAACTGGAAGTAAACATGGTGCAAACAGTTCTTCGCGAGGGTATACCCAACAATTAAGGCAGAGGAAGAAGAAGAACAGTAAAAACCTTAGAGGAAACATTTTTTTTCTTTCGGTGAAGGGAAATGAGAAATGATTAAAGAGTCGTACTGATAACGTGTTATAAATAGGCAAAAGGAGAGAAATAACCTTTGCTAAGAACAAGGACGAAGTGGTGCAAAATATCACACTGATAAAAGTATTGCAGATATTAGAAAATAAGGGATACTAAGAGTATTATATTTCTTCCTTTTCTTTTCTTGATATTCTCTAACTTTGAACAATCGAAGTGCTCTATTTATAGAGCCACTTCAATGAAAAATTACAAAATGATTACTATTTAGCTTGTGAGTCTGTACGGGCAAACATACCCCCTATTTACAAGCTGCAATTTTCAATCGTCCAGACAGCTCTCTTTCACTCGGTCTCTCGCTTCCCTCTCTCTCACTCCGGTCGTCTTTGTCTTCCTTCATCATTTTCGAAGACGCCAGACATCCACCTCATGCAATACAGTGCATGAGGAATTCGTCGCCGTTACCCACCCATCGTTAGACGAAGACAAAGGTAACTGGGTAATTAGGAAACCCTAATTATCATATATACACTTAAATTAGGGTTTTATTTGTTGTTACTTTAAGTGTAATTAGGGTAATTAGGGTTTTACTTGGTGAGTGTTGCAGGAATCTGTGTTTGCTTTAATCCTAAATTAGGGTTTTATTTGAAAGCTCTGTGTATATTGAAAGCTTTGGTTGCAAATCTGTGATTTTTTTAATTGGTTGCGGGGCAAATGCAAAGGTAACTGGGCTCAGGAAAATGGTATGAAGGAAAGCTCTGAAATTAGATATTGCTAATAGTATGTACTAGAAACTACAGTACCCTTTTGTTCCTCCTCTGCACACTTTTTACAGCTGCTTATTAATCACTTATTAATAACTTAACATGCTTAGCAAACCACTCTTCTGCACACTTTTTACAGTTGCTTCATCTTCAACATTGTACCTCATGGTCCAACTTTTGGAAGTATCTTCAGATAGCTTGTTTTAGTTTTCAGACTACATGCTAATTAATGATAGAACTTGTGGAAAGTGGCTTGATCTTGTGCATATTGAGCATAAGCAGAACCCTTGCAAAAGATGGCATATAATTAATAGTACAAAGATGCAACTCTACTGTTGTGATTTGATTACTTACTAGCGTAACTGAACCGGCGATGATGGGGTTGATTAGGCTTTGTTGTCTTGTCAAGTTGGCCAAAGGAATTTGTAATCCTTTTAGAAAAAAATATGTATATAATATAACACATTTAAGAGAATTAGTGCATTCCTATAACAAGTTGGAGATGGACTTGAACCAAAAGTTGTTATGTTCCACTATGAGGACAAAGAAATGTATAACCAAACTCTGTAAAGCAAGCAGATGAAAATTACTAAATGAGAATTTGAAAATAATAAATAATGATAAGAATTTGAAAATTACTAAATGAGAATTTGAAAATAATAAATGAGAATTTGCAAAGTGCCTATGTCGTAAGATACACTTTTAGGATTAATAATTGGATTAAGGCAGATTTCGATTATATAAATCATGTACCAATTACCAACTATGACCACCTCTTATCCTTTCGAACTTTCTGTCTACCTTAGTTGGCTAGCTATGAACTTGATGATATTATCATGATGTCAATCAGTTTAATCATTGAATTACTGCTTTTATTTCAAATGGTAGCTACAAGCCAAACTTGATGATATTATCATGATGTCAATCAATTTAATCATTCCATGTACTTAAGCTTTCAATTTGCTTTGAGAACTATTAAATGTAATGAACCTTGGTATTGCCTTTGTTACCTTAATCTGTATATTTCCTTTTTTTTTCCTATATCTTCTCTGCAACCTATTGGAGTCCTCTCATGTTTTCAATTGCTCTAATTTATTATTACTTGGTCTTCTCTGAGTTCTGTTTCCCTCCAAATTGCTAGTGCTTTGCTTTCTCATATTTCTTGCTTCGAACATTGAACAACGACTGATTCTTGAACATTTCTTCAACTATCAAGGGGGGCGCTTAAGAGGGTTTGACATGCAGATGTAGGTGTAGATATATGTGGTTGAGAGGTATTAACATGTAGGTGTAGATATATGTGGTTTGACAGGTAGGTGTAGATTTTTTGTCCCCAAGTGTCTATCATTGCTTTCTCTTGTTGCTTTTCAATGATCTGGTATTGTGGTTGATGGGAGCAAAGCAAATGTGAGGATGAAACATAATTGCTATTTAATACTTGTTTGTGACATGTGGTTTATTAGATGTCACTTGGTTCCATTTTCTATTCTGGTTTGCTCTGCTTCTGTTTTTTGTTGGTTAGTAGATATAGTGGACTGGGATTGGTTACACAGTACAGACCATAACTTCCCTTATGCATTTTGAGCTAATTTATTGATAAGGATTCCATATGCATACATCTTCTTTCTGTTTCCCCACTCTAAAGAATCAGATACCTCTCTACGTTTTGCTACTGATTGGTTCAGACTGGTTGATGCCCTTGTTAACATTCTATCTTGTATGCGAGTCGAAAAGGAATTTGTTGGGTGGCATCTTTTTTACTATTTTCTTCTTTCTACATGTTTCTTGTGTGAACTTTACAGGAACCTCTTTTGATTGATTTTCTTCAAGCACTACTACCTCTATCTTTTTTGTTCCGTGTAATTTTCAAACCTAGACCTCATGCCATCACCATCACATGGATCATTCCACATGATTCATTTACTAGAACACTAGGATTTTCTTTGTGTATGAGACAAACAGACAAAACATTGTGGGTTGAAAAAATATGAATGCAAAGACCTAGAATATTACTTTGTATTGATTGAATCGAATACCTGTTACTTTGTATTTTTTTTCCTTCTGAAATGATTAGTTTCAAATGCAAGAAAGGATTAGTTTCTAATGTTATATTTTTATGGTTCAAAAAGTGTATAGATGTCGCAGTTAATCACTCGTTGTCGGAGTATGACCAATGTGCCTCTTGATTGAGGATGTCATTGTATACGAGGATCCAGGTTTTCAGATCCTGAATGAGGTCTTGGATCAGAAGTTCGGTCGTCGTCATGGCATTGTTCGGTGTATGGGGAAGGTGCGGGTTCATGAGACGGGTGCCTCCTTTTCCAGATCGACCACATGAGAGGTAAATGCCCTGAAGGAGGAAGTGACAACCCTAAAAGGTCAGCTTGCGGCCCAGGGTGAGCAGATGAGTATTATTGTATGGGCCTTACAGATGTTTGACCTCCAAATCTCGATGCCAGCACCTAATCTTGCTCCACCTTCGACCTCCCAGCCACTTCGCCCAGCTAATACCCAGTAGCCTAATGTATCAAACCTAGAAGACCACTTGTAGTGTTTTTCTTTTTTGTTCGGACATCTTGTATGTACTTTGCGTGATGCATGTTACTTCTTCGTCGCACAAACCCTGCTTTCACTACCTTGGCACGACGGTTGGTGTGCGATGAAGGTTTCATTGGGTTAATTTTTTGTGCGACGTTTTTTGACTTTGATCGACGAAGGACCTATGTCGTGCAAACTGTTTTTTGTACTAGTGAACGTGATTGTTCAAGAAAATTTGAAAGGGTACTTGGATGTCTATATAAATCAAACGGTAGGATGGAGATTTTATACAACAATTTAATTCATCTTTCTTGTCTTTAAAATGTAGATTATTCTTTTTGTTTGAAACAGATGAAGAGTTTGATGTGCTGTAAACTGATGATTGTGGGTGTATGAGAGTGTGAGGTATGAGGGTAGTAATGAAAAATATGCAGGATGTGTTAAGATGAGCTTGGATGTGATAAGATGAGCTTTAATTTAAAAAGTAAAGGTGGATGTATTAATTATGTGAGGAGCAGTCAATAAAATATGAAGTGTTAATTAAACAACGCGGTATTTGCTCTCGTTTTTGTTAATATGTATTGCTATTTGATAACAAATTAAGGAAACAAATTCTTATGATATTTTGAAGTTATTCTCTTGAAAATTTTTCCTTTTCTCTTTCACTTAATTTAGTAAATATAAGCGGAAAGCTATAGTTGTTGGTGTATAAACAAGTAAAAAAAGTTGGAAAAGGATCATCGCCGGATCCTTTTCTATGATCCTAGGGATTCCATGATTGTGACCGTTCATCGTACATCGTGCAGTAAGAAATTATTTCAAAATTTAAAATTTAAAATTAAATATAAATAGTACCTAATAAAAATTAACCACACAATGTAAGATGAACGGTCATGATGGTGGGATCCTTATGATCTCTAGGAAAAGGATTCGGCGAGGATCATTTTCCTAAGAAGTTCACCAAAAACAAGTAAAAAGTGATTTCCGTTCCTATGACCACATGCGTATCATGGAAGAAAGCAAGCTCATTTCACTACTAAACCACATACTAGGACAGGGCAGGATATTCCAGACAAGAACAAGATATCTCAATCATACAAAATTAGATACCTTTATATTCAATCACTCCAAATTTAGTAACTTTATGTAAAATATCTTGTTTTAGACCGTTAAGGGTATTCATGGTATATACAAGACAATGTTAGTGTGAGATATTTAGAATCAACTAAAATGTAACGCAAACAACCTTATAAATTATAATTATCTTTACGCGCATAAACAACGGACGCTATTTTATCTAGTAGTAAAAATTGAATGAAAAAATAAACGCAAAGTGCAATGTATTAATTTGAGAAGCTTCACGGACTGGCGTCAGCATTGCTTTCCATGTCATCCCCGTAAATGCAGCCACCGAAGAGTGAGGTGAACATTTCCTCCTCATCCAACTGATAAAAGACTTGCTTTAAAAATACCTTTTGCAATAGTTTTCATCCTTTAGTATTTTATTTGTAGTTTTTCTTGTTTTGTAGGTCTAAATGCAAAGAAAGGAATTTTGAGCCTGAGTGGAGGAGTTTTGAGAGCTTAAAGATGGTCCATGAACGTTCAAAGGAAGATTGCGGGATATCAAAGCGATGCCTAAAACCCGGAGGTGAAACAAAATTTGGAAAATCTGAAATGTGGTAGTTTCTGCCAAGCGACTGCAGTAGGCTGCCATTTATGCATCCAGAGAAACCAGATTGCATAGCACATATGGATGGAAAGCTAAGGAAGTCTTCGTTCCAATGGCGCTAGAATCATGTCAATCCGATATTCGTCCAATGAATTATGGTCGTTTTAGTGACCGCTGTCCGGATTTCAAAATTGTGCAGTCCGTTTG